ACATTGTCAGAGCTGTAAACATTCTTTTCGAGAAAGGTTTGTTGGAACCGATTCCAGAAGACAAGCTGACAGAAACTTTTGTACCAAAAGACGAAACAAACTTTTCACTGTTAGCAAGACCAAAAGTTGTTCCAGACAAAGTTCTAGTACAAAAGAAGTACACAGTTCCAAAAGGAGTTGGATTGTTCGGATACCAACCTGAACCAGAAGAACTTCCAATGAGGTTGCAAGAACTTCAAGATGCTATAAACAAACTTCCATTGAGGCATCCAATCGACGTCAAATTGTATTGGAGAGCTTCTGAGTTAGGTCAGAAGGTTTTATATGAAACAGGTTGCTTCGACGATGTTTATGAGATAACAGGAGAAGTTTCTCAGAAGATAAGAGACTCACTTGAATTTCCACGAACTGGTCCGATTGGATGCGACAAGTTCGACTCAGATGAAAAGATATACTATGTCGACCTTAACGCTGCGTACATGAGGTTCGTCCAATATATCCCGACTGGAATTCCAAACGAAGATGGTGAGTTCCCGGGAAGGAACTATACAGTTGGAAAAGTCATACAACAACTGTATGATATTAGGAAAGCTTCAAACCCCAAACTTGCAATGACACTCAAATTGCTTATGAATTCGACATGGGGATATTCCATTAAAAACCTCAAAAGATGAAGAGTAAACACTATGAGAAGGTCGACAACTTTGTTGAAAGGTTTTCTCCTTTTGTTTTGAAGTACGAGTTCACCGAAGGTCAAAGTGGCTTAGTAACCACATTAAAACCTATTGTCGAACATTGGTCTTACCCTCAGTTCGCAAAAGCAGTCCTTGACAACTACAACAAATTCTTCTCCGAAGTCAAATCCAAAGTCAAGGTTTACTATGAGAACATTGACGCACTCATGACGAACGAAGAAGGATACAACAAACTCATTGAAATGGGTATGGTCGGTGAAAAGATGGGCTGTTTTAAGCTAGATAAGGTATTTTCCGAAGTTCATGTAATATCGAAAAGGAAATATTGGGGCATACTTGAAGACGGCACAGAAATAAAACATTGCATGAAGTAAAAACGTTTTTTTTTAAAACAGTATATTTTTACATATATTAAATGTTTCAGGTTGAAAAACAAAGAACAAAAGTAGCAGATACAAAACCGTTAGACTATATCTTTACAAATGCCGGTATGACTATTTCAGATGAAGAAATTTCATCCGGCTCCTACCGCTTTGACTTTCCAATTCGTTGGCTTCAAAGTCCTTCAGATGCAAAGGCAATAGGATTTAGAAGAGTTTTGTTTTCAAAAAGAACTAACGCGTTTATGTTCGCAGTATATTTTCATGGGCGGTATAGAGGTCATGATGGTCTAATAGACAAATTTGACGAAATGAGAATCTTTACAGTTCGTTCAGACGAAAGTCTTGAGAAGACTCTAAATGACTTTCAAACTCAAATAAACAAATACTACTGGGAATTTCAAGAAAAATACGATTCTTTACTAAATGGAACATACTATCTGAAACTAGAATATGACAAGATGAACTCCACCGTTTCATTTCAAAGGATTGAAAATAACCCTCCAAGAGATACACAGTTTTTATTTTGGCAAGTAGACAAACGTTCTTGGGCACAATTTCTTCGGTTACTAAACCAGAACGAACCATTACCACCTGACGGTCCGTTCTGGTTTATACGCCCACCAACAGATTTGACAGTTTATAGAAACGTGTTTGACCCTCAAAATGTTATGTGTCATGCAAGTTTCAGTTCAAGCAACAATAGTTTTCTTTGTATTGGTAAGGACTTTTATGACTTTGCTTCTAAATTCTACGATAGTAACAGTTTCTCTGACTTTCAATGGTTCACAACACAAATGGTGTGCAACATATTATTCCATTGTACTACGACTTTTATCTCGAATTGTCTTTCATATATAACTACGGAGAAGTGCTGAAAAAGTATTGAAAAATAATGTTTATGTTAGCATGTTAGATCTAACCTGTTTTCTAACCTGTTTTCTAACATGGTCTAAAACTCTTGAATTTTCATGAATTTTATATAAAAAGCAACCCGCGGAATTCCGCGGGTTGGTATATTCTTCACAAAATGCTTGTTTTGAGGTCGAGCCACAAACGGATGTCCGACGGTTAAGCCACAAACGGATGTCCGACGGTTAAGCCACAAACGAATGTCCGACGTCCCACCAAAAAATATTTTTTTATTTTTATTGTAAGGACAGTATGACAGTCGAAGCAAAAACGTTCACGAACAAATCTAATGGCGAAACATTCACAAAAGGCACTTACAACGGTATTGAAGTCTTACGTAGAGACAAGGATGGTTATATAAATGTAACAAATATGTGTCAACAGTTTAGGAAAGACTTTAGAAGGTTGTTGGAAAAATAAGTCCTGGGAAGAGTATTTTAAGGCATTTTGTGAAGAATATACCACCCGCGGAATTCCGCGGGTTGCTTTTTATACAATGTTAATGCAGGAATTCCGGATGAAATCAAACAGGTTAGAGGAATGTATGTAGACCCAAGACTCGTAAACTATATTGCAATGTGGGCTTCTCCAAAATATTGTATAGCAGTTGGAAAAATTATGGACTCCATAGACAAGAAAGTTCATGAGAAGTTAGATGAAGAAGAACTTGAAGATACAGTAGAGAATGCAAAACCTTTGTTTGAAGAAGAAGTTAGAAAAATGCATGAAAAACAAATAGAACATGAACGTGAGATATGTTCTGGTTATAGAGATTCTCCATACGAACTAGACCAATGGGAACAAGAAGATTTAAAGAGAGAATTTAGAGAATATGAACTCGCTAAGATAACATTAGAAGCTGCAGAAAAGAAGTTAAAAGTTTGGGGTCGTTTTGTACAAAAATATTGTGAGTAACTGAACCATTTTTTTTCGACAAAAATATATTTTAGGGTAGAATGTTAGATCTAACATGTTTTCTAACACGTTTTCTAACATGGTCTAAAACTCTCGAAAACTCATGAATTTTACACCAAAAATAAAGTTTATGTTAGAATGTTAGATCTAACATGTTTTCTAACACGTTTTCTAACATGGTCTAAAACTCTCGAAAACTCATGAATTTTACACCAAAAATAAAGTTTATGTTAGAATGTTAGATCTAACATGTTTTCTAACACGTTTTCTAACATGGTCTAAAACTCTCGAAAACTCATGAATTTTCCCGACGATTTCCTTCTATCTGACGTCAAGAAGAAGTATAAAGAAACTTTCGGTATCGTTAAAACTTTTGACATACTGACAGAAGAAATAGAAGCTACGAAATTGTTTAGAGTCATGAACCATCGCAACATATACCATGTAAAACGCTTGTAAATAGTTATGTTAGAAAACGTGTTAGAAAACATGTTAGATCTAACATTCTAACATAAAATATATTTTTGGTCATTTACGAAGAAGTCTTGACAAAACATTTACGAAGAAATCATGAAATTTCATGAGTTTTGTATGTTTTAGACCATGTTAGAAAACATGTTAGAAAACATGTTAGATCTAACATTCTAACATAAAATATATTTTTGGTCATTTACAATGAAGTCTTGACAAAAACTATCCAACAGCAGAAGATTTCCTTCTATCTGACGTCAAGAAGAAATATAAAGAAACTTTCGGCATTGTTAAAACTTTTGACATACTGACAGAAGAAATAGAAGCTACAAAACTGTTTAAAGTCATGAACCATCGCAACATATACCATGTAAAACGCTTGTAAATAGTTATGTTAGAAAACGTGTTAGAAAACATGTTAGATCTAACATTCTAACATAAAATATATTTTTGTCTGATTTACGCTCATTACGATGAAGAAGTCTTGACAAAACATATACGAAGAAGTCTTGACAAAACATTTACGAAGAAGAAGTCTTGACAAAACATTTACGAAGAAGAAGTCTTGACAAAACATTTACGAAGAAGAAGTCTTGACAAAACATTTACGATGAAGAAGTCTTGACAAAACATATACGAAGAAGTCTTGACAAAACATTTACGAAGAAGAAGTCTTGACAAAACATTTACGAAGAAGAAGTCTTGACAAAACATTTACGAAGAAGAAGTCTTGACAAAACATTTACGATGAAGAAGTCTTGACAAAACATTTACGATGAAGAAGTCTTGACAAAACATTTACGAAGAAGAAGTCTTGACAAAACATTTACGATGAAGAAGTCTTGACAAAACATTTACGAAGAAGAAGTCTTGACAAACATATACGAAAGAAGTCTTGACAAAACATATACGAAGAAGTCTTGACAAAAATATTACGAAAGAAGTCTTGACAAAACATTTACGATGAAGAAGTCTTGACAAAACATTTACGATGAAGAAGTCTTGACAAAACATTTACGAAGAAGAAGTCTTGACAAACATTTACGATGAAGAAGTCTTGACAAAACATTTACGATGAAGAAGTCTTGACAAAACATTTACGAAGAAGAAGTCTTGAAAATTCAAGAGGGTAGAAAAGAGGGTAGAAAAGAGGGTAGATCTAACCTTCTACCCTAAACATTATTTTTGCTGAAAAAATGACCAAAATTCATGAATTTCCTCATATGTTTGCTACCTCTCGGAAAACCGAGGATAGAGATTCCATTCGAAATCGTAAAAAATTGCGACCCGCGGAAAACCGAGGAAACGCCTAAAACACATGAAAATCGTAAAAAAATGACCAAATTTCATGATATAACTGTATCTTTTATACAAAATAAAATTAACGCTAGTTTTTTTTAAAATATTTTTTTTTATTTTGTATGTAGAAACAGGAAATGACAAACACTGAGTTTTGAAACAGTTAAAAAGATAGACAATAACACCAAAGTGTTAGAAATAGGGATTTAAACGTAGATACTCAAAGAAAACAACAAATATTCTTTGTCAGACATTTTAACACTATCTGAAAAGAAAACATCCCACGACTGGGTTAGAAATGCTTCTATCAAAAATTTTGACAAGAAATCCTGAGCTTATGATATCGGTAAGATTCTATGGAACAAGAGCATATCTTATAGACAAAAGTCTTATACCAGTAGTTTTGTTCTGGATTGACCCAGTTGTTGGATATAACTTCATAACATATGGTTCATTCGATACTGAACGTTGCAGTGAAGGCTTACTTTATATCGTTCAGAAACCAAAGGACTTCAATACAAAGAGATATAAGATAGGAAGAACATATAATATAACTCAAAGATATGACAGTACAGTCAATAGAGTCAAGGTTGTGTTCGTTAATGATATGAGAGCTGCTGAAACAGAACTACTCGAAAAGTTTGAGAAAATGTATGGTGCTCCCATAAAAGGTAAAGAAACGTTTGAAGTAGATGAGATAGCTAAAGCTATAAAATTATTTGACGAAGTTGCTGAAAAATACATGTAAAGCGTTTATTTTTGGTCTTTTATACAAGATAGAAATAACGCTAATTTTATTTTTTTTATTTTTTTATTTTGTATGTAAAGACAGATATGTCAACAACAGAGAACACAACAGTTATAGTTCATGAAGCCATAAATGAAGAATACGAGTACATACAGTTTAACAAACAACTCCGTCTCATTCGTTCTGTCAAAGACGATATGTACCAAATGCAAAGTATTTTGACAGCATGTTTTGCTCCAGATACTAAGAAACCACAAGACTGGTTTAGGAACAAAGCACACAAGAATTTTGAGCGAAGCACAGCGAGACATACTTTTTTCTGAAAACAGTGAAGAACAGCGAGTAAGTAAAAAATCTTACTCGCCTAAAACTCATGAAAATCGTGAAAAATTGCCAAATGGTTTGAGAGGATATTATGTACATAGACTTCTTGTAATGCTGTTGCAATGTGGGCTTCGCCTCGTTATGCTTGTATGTTTGTAAACTTCTTGACGAAATTCATAGACAAGAACGTGAAGAGCTAGAGAACAGCTTGAAGCAAAAGACAAAAACATACAGAAAAGAATACCACGTTCGGTAACCAAAAGGAAAGGAAAAGAACTATAGTAATATATGATTTACACTGAAGAGATGGAAAATGAAGAAGACAGAGATATGGTTATGTTGCATTTAGTCAGAAGAAACAACAAAAGCTTTTACGACTTAGCTAAGATTTACAAATCTGACAGAAATTGGTTCTATCGCGAAAACTTACCGATTTCAATGACACCGAATGAAGATGTGAAACAAATAGTTCAAGATACGTTACCTCAAACACACTATGATATTAAAGGTTGTACAATTCTTACCTTCAAAGAAGATTTGCCATTGTTAAAGGAAAAAATAACAGAGTATTTTGACAACTTCAAACAAGCAGAGTAAATGAACCATTTATTTTTCAAGCTTGACTTCAGATGGCTCAGGTAGCTCTATAAGTTAAATTGCCTTGTCAAATCCTTCTGGCATTCCGAGTCCTTCCATCCGACATTCCGAGTCCTTCCATCCGACAAGAAAAAAATTTCCCGACAACTGGAAAAAAATTTCCCGACAACTGGAAAAAAATTTCCCGACAACTGGAAAAAAATTTCCTGTTGTTCGTCCGTAAACCATTCAAATTTTCGAAAATTGAGAACTTTTTGGTCGAACTTCAGAAAAAGTTTTTCCATCAGACAGGAAAATATTTTCTCGACAACAGGAAAAGTTCTTCCATCAGACAGGAAGAACTCTTCCATCAGACAGGAAAAGTTCTTCCTTCCGACAGGACACAAACGGATGACTGACGTTCCTCTTCCTGAATGTCTTCCAAAGCCAGAAGAACCGACAGCCCCAGCACCACAACAGACTTACTAAGACTAAACTCTTTATTTTTCAAGCTTGACTTTTTACAATTTGAACTTTGTTTGCGTAGATATGAATTCTGAAAGAAGTATGAGGGTCTTGTATGACTTTGTACTTTCTCCATAGTTCATGTCTGTCAAACTTACCTGCCATGGACTCTTTCATAAGTTCCATGAAATCGTCTTCGGACAATCCGGGGAAAAGTATAATGTCAGTAAGTATTCTTTTAACATCCTTACTTAAACTCTTTGCTGTCTGTACACAAATGACAACTGAGATGTTAAAGTGTCTGAGCTTCTTAAGAATTCGACACATATCTTGTTCTCTGTTCTTTAACAAAGGATGAGAAGCAAAGTCATCTAAGATAAGAAGACATCTATGAGGGTAAGTCTTCCAATCGTAAGATTGCAATTTCTTCGAAATGTATTCTATCTCTTTCTGTTTGTTTCTGAAGTGTTTCTTCTCTAATATTCTCTGCATTTCCTCATTTGGGTCTTTAAACTTCGAGTTTATATACTCATTTATAGCATTGTACTTCAAAACCCTTCTTTGGTACTTCTTTATCCAATCTAACAACTCAGTATCCTTTATACATACTAACTTAGACTTCTTTATAATATCTTTGAACGAATTTACGGTTTGGTCGAATTGACCAGAAGTACTACAAATAACAACTAACTCATAGAATGGGTTCTTCTCATCTAGTTCTTGTTGTTGTGCAGCCATTTTAAGATAAGTGAAAGTCTTACCCGACCCAGGTGGTGCGATTAGACCTGTTATACCATTCTGAGCAAATAAGAACTTGTCATGTGGGTTTTTATCTGAGCATTTTCCAACTTCCTCTTGTTCTTATTTAAAACATTTCTCAAATTTCTTGTCAATGTCAGCAAACTTTTTTTCTAACATATTTTTAGAAAAATTAAAATTTTTATCTTTTTGAAAATGTCTAGCGATTTCGCTATCTATATTCGAGACAAACTTTTTGACAGCAAAACATCTGTCGACCATAAAATCTTACATATGTAAACAAGAAAGGTGAATTTGTTCTAAAGTTCTGTTTCTGGGAATATGACAAGAACCATAAAACATTAGGCAGAGAAGTCTTTAAGTTTGTCAATGACAGACTTGTTGACAGAGATGACGCCTCTTGGAGAGATGAAGTCCAACAAAAGTTCTTAGAATGCAAAGAAGACACATGCGCTGTTCTTGAAGATGAAATAGGAAACAGAATAGAAGAGCTATTAAAGGACAAAGAACTTTTACATAAATATGGTTCTGAGAAATTTGACATAACTCCACCAGAAAAGAAGAAGAGAGAAAAGAAAGAAAAGAAAGAAAAGAAAGTAGAAGAGAAGAAAACCTGAACCAGTTCCAGAGAAGGTGAGATATGACATGTAAAAATAAAATTTTATTTTTAGAACATTTCTGGGTCAATGTCAATGTTCTCTTCCTCTTTAGGAGCAAACACTGGCTTAGACTCTAAAATCTTTTTACCCAATTTACCTTGAACTTCAACTATCTTAGACTCATAATATTCATAGTCGTTCTGCTTTCTTTGGTTCATAAGGTATAACAAGTTTGTATGCTTTGCCTTCTTTAAGGTTTGAAAACCTTCTGTCAAAATTTTCTTTGACTGCTAACAAACCTTCTATGTCTAAGTCTTCAAATTTCGCACCATTTTTAGTCACAATAGCAAACTTAACTGGTTCGATGTTCCAAACTTTGCTGAATGAAGACTTTTCAAAATGGTAGAAGTAAACATTCAAATAAGCGAATGGGTCTAGTTCTTCTTTAAGTCCTGACATATATTTGTTGACTGAAATATATTTCGTCATCTTTTCTATCGGATAAAAAAAATATTTTTTTTATTCTTGACTTTGTTGTTGCATTTGTTGTTCTTGAGCTATTTGTTGTTGAAGTTGTTCTTGTAATACAATACTTTCACCAGTTGCATCTTCCAATTCGAAACTTTCTGCCGTCATTGACAAATACATAGGACATAAAAGTTTTACAGGAACAAAGTTTGCGTCAACTAATGTCAACGTTATACTTGCCAAAGTGTTTGAGTTCACTAAGGTTGAAAATTCTGCATTCGAATGAACAATAGGCAAACCAGCAGAGAAAGTGTTGTTTATACGCATGAGTATCTTTTGGTCATAGTAGTTTCTGTCGACATTCGAATAGCACTTTGAACCTAAGTTTGAAACAATATATAAGATTGGTGTGCTTAATGTCAATGGAATAGACATTCCTTGTATGACACTTTTCCTGTTATAGGAAACTGTTGGTAGTAAAAACCAGATATAAGTTTTGTATTATAGCTCATATCGTTTATACTAAACTCAGTCGGACATCCAAACATAATGAAACCTGCTCTAGTTGCAGCACATGTTACATCCGTCCTTAAAGTATTAAATAAGTCAACAAAACCTGTTGGTGGTATATCTGAGTAAGTATCTTCAAAGAAGTATTTTTTACCATTCACAACAACAAAGTCTTCTGGTGTCAAAAGAGCAAACAGGCTTTAGTCGTCATCGTGTTTAAGGTCAGTTTACAATATCGTCCTTGAGGACTTTGTAAGTTTGTTGTTATAGAATTATATGACTCAGGGTTTTTAGTCGTAATAGTATAAACCACTATGTCTTCTGCCATTTACTTAGCAAGTAAATTTTAATGAAATGTTGTGGTCGTCAAATATTTTTATGACGTCTGGGAAACTATATTTTAAGTTCAACGTTTCACCTCCTTTCATAACGTATATCTTGTCAATGACATTATATGAAACACCACAGCAACTAACGTCGGGTTCTATTTCTTTGATGTTTATATCGTCTGCCTCTGTCAAAAGTTTCAATAGTTCTTTCAAAACTTCATGAGGTGCGATGACATATGAGTTCACTTTTACAGGGTTGTGTTCGACCAAGTTTAACATTATACTTAAAGCTTGACAAATCTTCTCCTGAGTTTGAAGTTTGTCTTTCAGTTGTTGGTAGTCATTTCGAATATCTGCAACAGAACTTAAGTCTCTGCTAACTTCAGGGTATGTTGGTTGTTCTTTTACAGGAACTATTGTTATACCATCTTCGTCTTCGTATGGTTTCCCCACTTCAACATCTCTTTCTTTGACATTGACAACAACACTTTGACTGTTTGTTTGAGTTGGTGAATTTAACTTCACATCTGCCATCGCCATTAAACTTTGAAACACTTACGCTTCTATTTTTCGGAAATGACATTTTACTTAGAATAAAAAGATGGACGTATTCGAGTATCTCTTCGAATTGAAGCAGAACAAAGTTTACACACACAAACAATACAAATACATTGACAGAATAGTTCTTTACACAAACAATGGAAAATGTTATAGAATAGCAATATTTGCTGAACCAAAATATTTTCATAAAGCAAAGAAAGTTGGTATAACTGAAATGGTGAAAGTTCTTGAAGCAGACAAAAATATAACAACAAAACTTACAGATATTTCTAAAGGTAAGTTTATAATACAATTTTATGTCAAAACTGGCGTACTGTCAATATTTGACGGAGAGAAGTCAGTTCAAGACACACTTACTGACCTGCTGCCAAAATCTGCTCGATGGAAGCTGTCGTTATGCCAATCTGAGGAGCCCCAGCAGGTTTCATCGAACGAATCTTCAAAAGAGCATCTTCCGTGAAAAGTGCTATTGGTTTTGTAAACTTCTTTGCTCTCAGTTCATCTGGACCGTCTCTGTCACCAGTAATATTGTATTTGAACTGTACCAACAGTTGAAATACCACCCATAAAGTCTTCTGAGTCAGCAAATGGAATGCCAAGCCAAAAGTTTGAACGGTCTCCATTTGTATATTGAGTTTTTTGACTTCCTGTATGGGTCCATACTTTCACATATGGCATAATAGAACTTTGCATTTCAGGGTTAATGGTTGTTGTGAAGTTGTTGTTAAAGTTCATAGCATCTAATGTCAAGTTGTATGACCTCATATCCTCAACTGTAGAATATTCTTCTCTTGGATAGTATTTGCCATCTATGTTTATATGATATTTAATACCAGGGTTGTAGAAGCAAGAATAGTCATTTATAGTTCGTCTGAACAGTACAAACATAGTATCTGCATGTTTCATTGCAGTTGTTAAGGCAATATCTGTTCTTGCACCTGGGTCAGCACTTTGGTTTCCAACTTCACCTGCAAAGTCTTTGACAGATATTTGGTGTATAGGGAACATAAGTGGAACTGCAATATTTGGCAGCTAAAGCATTTGAAATATCTGGGTCCAACATATAGACTGCAAGTCTGCTTTCTATTCTCTTGCATTCAAACTTTTCGCATGTAAACTTAACTGGGTCCCAAGCATCTCCAGCAGCATTGAAATAATAGTTTACTTCAGTGTTGAGGTTTGAGAAACCAAAGTCTAAGTCAACTTTGTTTTTGCAAAAGTCGGCGAATGACATTTTATTTGTTCCCACTACTTCTGTAAGAGTGAATGGGTCTTGTGTTGGTGCAATGACTAAGTTATTTTTGCTTGGAGTAAGTTCGATAGAAATTTTTCCTGCCCAGTTTGGCAAGTATCTTAAAAACCTGAAGATGAGGAAAGATGACAAAGGAACTCTAAGTTTCAGTTTTACTTTGGTTACTGCTGCTGCAGTTTGTCCAGAAAGGTTAACATAAACTCCTGGAACGTTAGGGTCAAGTCTTCTTATTTTCTCAATGGTGGCATACTGGTCTGTTTGTTCTCTAGCTTGTGGTTGTACTGAGTTTCTCAAAGCGAACCATTCATAGTTTGCCCATGTTACTGTTTGAACTAAGTCAGAGTTAGAATATATCTTATATCCCATGAAAACTTCTGGAGCATATTGGTATCCGACATAGAAAATTCCATTGCAACCTTTCTTGTCAGACAACTTGGCAGAAGGTTTTATTTCAATGTCTTGTTCCACGTATAAGAATGAGTTGTCAATAGAATTATATGAAACCTGTCGCAAGCAATATCTACTGTTGTTGAAGAACCTTCTCCAAACTCACCTACGTTTCCATAAGAAACAGCAGTTGTATATTCGTAAGTTCCAGGAACTATTTCTGACCTTCTAATGGCATTGTCGCATTCGTTATACCATTCGGAAACATTTCCATTCATAGCATCCAAAACTGTTGGCGTTATATTCTGAGCGGCGTACATTTCATATGAGTAAAAATATAGAATAGTTGTCAAGTTCTTCTTCGTATATGTTTTTGTCAAGACTTTCATCGTATATGTTTTGTTGAGACTTCTTCGTATATGTTTTGTAAAGTTCTTCTTCGTAAAGACTTTCTCATGAACTTTCTTGTCTATGTTTTGTAAAGTTCTTCATCGTAAAGACTTTGTTGAGACTTTCTCATGAACTTTCACTTTTGTTCTACTCTTCTCTTCTTCTTTGGTGTCGCTTTTTGGTAACTTGCCCTCTGCTTCAAGTTGTTGTTGCTGAACTATTTCTTCCATGTCTGGTTGTATCTGAACTTCTTCCTGTGGAGTTTCTTGTACCTCATCTGCTGGCATTTCATATATTCCGAGACCGTTTTCAACAAGTTCCCTATCTAAGTCATTCGCATTCATAAACCTTTCTTCTTTCGTTCCGTCTCTTGGAGGGTTTGGTGGTATATAAGTTCCACCAGCTGGCACATATGTTCCATCTGCAGCGTAATGTCCTACCTGACTTTTCGTTTTTAAGAAAGCATTTACTAGGTCTGTTTTGGTCTGTTGTAACTCTTTTTCTTGACTTTTCACAACAGTTGCTCTAACGGCGTCATAGGCACTTTGAACTGCCTGTCTCGTTGCTGCATCTGTTATTTTCGTCATATTTTGTGCTACTTCTCTTAACTCGTTGTCGAAACCTTCAGACTTCAGTTTCTTTCCAGATGAGAAGTCGTTCACTTGTTTCACCTTACTATGAAGAGCTTCGAAAGCGTTCTTAAAGTCAGCATTTGTTAAAGCTTCATTTGAACTGTCTTCATCCGCTTGTATTTTTGTCCTTATTGACCCTATGAGTTGGGCTGCTTTAGCGTTGGCTTGGGCATCTAACCAGTCATTGTTAGCTTTTATATATTCTGCGCTTTTCATTGCCTTTTGCATAGCCGCGTCGTTATTTTTACTTTCTTGTGCTAAGTTTTCATACTGTACGGTTTGGTTTTGCAACTGTAAAAGTTTTTCTGCCTTTACATTTGCTTCAACTTCTTTTTTATACTCATCGCTATCCATATATGTCTTCAGGGCTTTTTGTTTTATCTCTTCATCTTTCAGTATTTTATATTGAGTAGTATGGTTTTTCAAATTTATGACATCTTGTTCCATTTTTGCTACTTCTGTTGCTTTTTCTGACACTTTTTTCGCATATTCCTCTGTACTTAGTTCTTTCAGTTGTTCTTCTTTCTTCTTTTTCTCTACGTTTAACTCATTTAGTTTCTTTGTGTGTCTGTCATATTCTAGTTTCTTTTCGTTTTCACTTATTTGTTTCTGTATGTCTATGTTTGACTTTTTGACATCTGTTATTTGATTTTTGAGTGAACTCAAATTCATTTGACTTTGAGGGTTATAGGCTGTTCCGTCTGCAGCTCCACCATAGCCTGCCATTTTCGCTAAAAGTGCCGCTCTTAAACCTCCACTCTGTGCACCAACAACTCGGTTTAAAAGCATAGGATTGCTTGACATTTGTTGCAACATAGTGGGGTCATTCAGCATTTGTTGTTGCAACTGTTGTTGTGGTGTCAGTTTTACTATTGGATGTTTCAATGCTCCCTTCCTCTTACGTATATTCTTACGTAGCTTACGTGGCATTTTAAGTGAAGTTAAAAAGCGGCTTTTGACAGATGTTTTGTCAAGACTTCTTCATAAAGACTTTGTTGAGATTTCTTCGTAAATGTTTTGTCAAGACTTCTTCATAAAGACTTTGTTGAGATTTCTTCGTAAAGACTTTGTCAAGATTTCTTCGTAAATGAGCGTAAATGACCCAAAAATATATTTTATGTTAGAATGTTAGATCTAACATGTTTTCTAACATGTTTTCTAACATGGTCTAAAACATACAAAATTCATGAAATTTCATACGGAATTCAATAAAAATATATTTTATGTTAGAATGTTAGATCTAACATGTTTTCTAACATGTTTTCTAACATGGTCTAAAACATACAAAACTCATGAAATTTCATACGGAATTCAGCAAAAATATATTTTATGTTAGAATGTTAGATCTAACCTCTTTTCTAACCTCTTTTCTACCCTTGAATTTTCATGATTTCATCGTAAATGTTTTGTCAAGACTTCTTCGTAAAGACTTTGTTGAGATTTCTTCGTAAAGTTCTTCATCGTAAAGACTTTGTAAAGTCTTTCTCATGAACTTTCTTGTCAATGTTTTGTTGAGACTTTGTAAAGTTCTTCATCGTAAAGACTTTGTAAAGAAAGTTCATGAAAATTCATGAGGTTAGAAAAGAGGTTAGAAAAGAGGTTAGATCTAACATTCTAACATAAACATTATTTTTGGGTCATTTACGCTCATTACGAAGAAGTCTTGACAAAACATTTACGATGAAGAAGTCTTGACAAAACATTTACGATGAAATCATGAGTTTTCTACGATGTTAGAAAACATGTTAGAAAACATGTTAGATCTAACATTCTAACATAAAATATATTTTTGGGTCATTTACGCTCATTACGAAGAAGTCTTGACAAAACATTTACGAAGAAGAAGTCTTGACAAAACATTTACGAAGAAATCTTGACAAAACATTTACGATGAAGAAGTCTTGACAAAACATTTACGATGAAATCATGAGTTTTCTACGATGTTAGAAAACATGTTAGAAAACATGTTAGATCTAACATTCTAACATAAATATATTTTTGTCTGATTTTACGAAGAAGTCTTGACAAAAACATTACGAAGAAGAAGTCTTGACAAAACATTTACGAAGAAATCATGAGTTTTCTACGATGTTAGAAAACATGTTAGAAAACATGTTAGATCTAACATTCTAACATAAAATATATTTTTGTCTGATTTTACGAAGAAGTCTTGACAAAACATTTACGAAGAAGTCTTGACAAAACATTTACGAAGAAGTCTTAACAAAGTCTTTACGAAGAAATCTTGACAAAACATTTACGATGAAGAAGTCTTGACAAAACATTTACGATGAAATCATGAGTTTTCTACGATGTTAGAAAACATGTTAGAAAACATGTTAGATCTAACATTCTAACATAAAATATATTTTTGGGTCATTTACACTCATTTATGAAGAAATCTTAACAAAGTCTTTACGAAGAAGTCTTAACAAAGTCTTTACGAAGAAATCTTGACAAAACATTTACGATGAAGAAGTCTTGACAAAACATTTACGAAGAAGTCTTGACAAAACATTTACGAAGAAATCTTGACAAAACATTTACGAAGAAGAAGTCTTGACAAAACATTTACGATGAAGAAGTCTTGACAAAACATTTACGATGAAGAAGTCTTGACAAAACATTTACGATGAAGAAGTCTTGACAAAACATTTACGATGAAGAAGTCTTGACAAAACATCCTCAGGGCTAGAAGGCACGAAGTGCCTGGAAGCCCCACTTCCTTTTTTTTTTTTTTTTTTTTTATTCGAATACCCAGATCAAGCAGCAAAAATTATATTTAGCGTCAATTCCAATAATATTAAACAAATATCTTCACAAATTATCGAATTAATAACAACCCACAAAATATCTATCAAAATGGCGCTTTATTTGATTGATATTTTTTCACAAATACGTGTTAAAAAATTAAATTATTTTCAGAACTTTATCAAAAGATATCAAACACATTTTCATACATATATGAACCAAAAAATAAGGGACTAGCGACTCTTCTACATTATCAAGGTTTCAAATTCGAAAACTTCGAACCCAAAATGAAAATAGAAGAAATTCTGAATTTATATTCAACAGAATCTCCTTTATACTATATTGCATGGGATCAAGTTAATGATCTTAAGAGTAAATTCCCAAATCTTGATATTAATAAGATGATTAATAATATCACTCCACTCAATTGTGCAATTAAATATGGATCAGAATTGTGTTTCAATTACTTGAAAAATTTAGGAGCTGATTATACTGATAACTCCGAAGAATATGCTGTTCAAGGCGGAAATAATAACATTTTTATGGAAATGATAGAAGATGGTAAATCATTTGATAACATGATTAATACAGCATTGAAATATCGAAACTATGAAATTGCTGAGTTCCTTAAATCAAATTTCGGACAATTTTTTGATTCAATAGCAGAAAGTATGCATTTCGGAAATTATCATGTTGCATCTCATTTTCTTTCTAATGGAGGAAATATCAACAAAATTTATCATCTCTTTCTTTTCATTTTTATCAATGTTTTATAACATTCTCTTTCCTTTCATGTTTATCATTGTTTTATGATATTCTCTCGATATTAATGAATGCCCACTTAGTATTGCAATCAAAGCGAATTTAATTGAAATTGTTCAATTCCTAGTTGAGCATGGGGCAGATGTTAACATGAAACTAATTCTCTTTCTTTTGATATAGAGTGTCCAAAGGTGTGTTTAGCACAAACCTGAATACTGCGAATAGAAATAAACAAGTTACATATATATAAAGTTTATTTAAATATAATCACCATTGGATTCAATCACGCGTTCGCAGCGATCGATCCAGGCTTGAAAGACACGCTTTAAATCATCATGAGAAAATTGCTCAAATTGCTCTCTTACAAAATTTTCAAGATCATCTGGACTCGCGAATTCGCGTCCTTCAGCTCTCTTTTTTAGCGTGCCGAATAAATAAAAGTCAGAAGGTGCAATATCAGGTGAATAAATTGGGTTTGGAACAACTTTGACATTGTTTTCCACCAAGTAATTCATTACCTTATGACTTTTGTGAACTCTTGAATTATCAAAATGAATTGCAAACTTTTGTTTTTGTTGTTTGGATTTCTCAAACTCATCAGAATTGATAATTTGAGTAAGAACATTGTCAATTAGATACTGAGCATTCATCGTATTAGGTTTTTGAAGAATATCAATTGCGATGATGCCATTCACGCCCCAAAAAACCGACAACATCATCATTGGTGTGTCAATTTTTTTCTTCGGGAATGTTTGCGGATTTTCATCCTTCGGGATCCACATGATTTTGGCTTCTGTTGCATATTGAAACCAAGACTCGTCACCTGTTGCTAAAAAGCGAAACTTCTTGGATTGATACGCACCCAATATAGAGAGGAGCTCTTTCGAAGATTGGACTCTAGATTTTTTTTGAACTGAATTAAGGTTGTGCGGAACCCAACGTGTATACGCTAGTTTGTAGTTCAAATAATTGTGCAGATAATAACTGACTGTTGTACGTGGTATCTTTGTCATCTCCTCTATCCTTCTGAGTGATGCTCTTGGGTCTTCATCTAGCGCTTGAAGAATTGCTTTGATTTTTCTTTGATCCGGCGATTTTTTGTCAATTTTTATGATGGGCGCCTTTTTGTTCATGAAGTGATACATCCTAACATGATACGTTACAGTGGAATAGCTAGGAGCATCCATACCGAAGCATTTTACCAATGTCTCGTAGATTTTTTTACAGTCTTTGCATTTTTTTGCAAGAGCGAGGATGTTTTCTTTATGATTCATTACAAAAATGAAAAAAATCCCGCCAAAATTTCCCGCGAAACCGCCTCTTGTCTCAAAATTCATTTTATATCCCGGCATGGCGCCAAAATACAACATACTCATCATATACATATATTCATATTTTTTATTATATATTTATAATCAGCATATATCTCCTTTAATAGTCTCATATAGAGCGCTGTGCTAAACGCACCTTTGGACACCCTATATTTATCGTTGTTTTATAAATTTCTTTTTCTTTTGATATTTATCATTGCTATATAACATTCTCTTTCTTTCTATATTTATCATTATTTTATTACATTATCTTTCTTTTCATATTTATCATTGTTTGATAAAATTCTCTTTCTTTCTATATTTATCATTGTTTTATAACATTCTATATCTTTTCATATTTATCATTGTTTTATGATAATCTCTTTCTTTTCATATTTTTCATTGTTTTATGATATTCTCTTTCTTTTGATATTAATCGTTGTTTTATTGGATTCTGTTTCTTTTCATATTTTTCATTGATTTATGAAATTCTCTTTCTTTTCATATTTTTCATAGTTTTATAATATTCGCTTTCTTTCGATATTTATCATTGTTTTATTGGATTCTTTTTATTTGCATGTTTGTCACTGATTTATTGGGTTCTTCTTCTTTTCATATTTATCATTGATTTATCATGTTCTCTTTCTTTTGATATTAATCATTGTTTTATTGGATTCTCTTTCTATTCATATTTGTCATTGATTTATTGGATTCTGTTCCTTTTCATGTTTATCATTGTTTTACGACATTCTCTATCTTTTCATATTTTTCATAGTTTTGTTACATTCTATTTCTTTTCATTTTTATCAATGTTTTATAACATTCTCTTCCCTTTCATGTTTATCATTGTTTTATTGGATTCTTTCGATATTAATGAATGCCCACTTAGTATTGCAATCAAAGCGAATTCAATTGAAATTGTTCAATTCCTAGTTGAGCATGGGGCAGATGTTAACATGAAACTAATTCTCTTTCTTTTGATATTTATCGTTGTTTTATAAATTTCTTTTTCTTTTGATATTTATCATTGCTATATAACATTCTCTTTCTTTCTATAAAGTCATTTCAAGAGCCTTGTACCGATAAACTAACCTTGTACTGCCATTTTATGGTGATGTAAAGTATTCAAAAAATTTGTAATGTAAACCATTACATGGCAGAAACTTTAAAATAAACAAAAACATGACACTTAGTACAGGGGCTTTTTGGCTGGTGAAGTCAGATAAAACGTGGCTCAGGTGCTCGTTTAAAATTAAAAATGGAATTTCTCACAGTCGAATTTCTTGGTAGACAACAAAAGTTTATCATCAATTGTCGCGCCGAAGGTATGACATATAGTCAAACTAAGCTTGCATGGGAGGAAGAATACCCAGATCTCGGAACTTTAACATCCAATCTCATTGCTACTGGAAAAAACCAGAATTTTCGAAAAAGTGACACCAACTATTAAAGTTATTTTATTACTAGATTTATTTACAAATTATAAGATAATATCATTAACAAAATATATTTTTAATATAAATAAAAAACTTTTTTTATACAAAAAATTACAATCAATCGATAAATATTATAAAACATTTATTCCAAAAAGATTAAGTAATAGGTGGGATCCTGCATATAATATAATTTTATGTCATAAAGCTTACAAATTTTAGATGGACCACAGTGAGAATGTGAGTGGTTAATTTAAAGGTGGTCTGATAAAGATATCGAAGCTTACTCAACACAGCATGAAGCAGTTTCTAATACACAATCTTACTAGTGGTGTTTCGGTCGCCAGCGCTCTCATAGGGGTGCTGATTTCAAAAACCACTACTTCAAATTATTCAACAATACTCAATGCAGCATGAAGCAGCTACTACTGCTGTATCTTACTGGTAGCGTTTTGGTCGTTGGCTCTTGCACAGTCTCTCAGATTTTCAAAATTTTTTTTCAACACTATCTTGTTTCGCTCTCAGAAAGCTATCCTACAAAGACATCGAAGCTTACTCAACACAGCATGAAGCAGTTTCTAATACACAATCTTACTAGTGGTGTTTCGGTCGCCAGCGCTCTCATAGGGGTGCTGATTTCAAAAACCACTACTTCAAATTATTCAACAATACTCAATGCAGCATGAAGCAGTTTCTAATAAATATATACATATATAAATATATACATATATAAATATATACATATATAAATATATACATATATAAATATATACATATATAATATATATACATATATATAATATATACATATATAAATATATACATATATAAATATATACATATATAAATATATACATATATAAATATATACATATATAAATATATACATATATAATATATACATATATAAATATATACATATATAAATATATACATATATAAATATATACATATATAAATATATACATATATAATATATACATATATAAATATTACATATATAAATATATACATATATAAATATATACATATATAAATATATACATATATAAATAGAGTGGGGGACAAACTCGCCCATTGTCACTTTTTCATTAACCTTAAACTTGTAATTTTCATTATTTTTAATTAACCTTATTTCTTTCCCAATTCCTGATTTATTTTATTCACTTACTATTAAAAGTCACATTTTAATAAAATATAATAATTTATTTATAGCAGTTTTTACTATACTGTAATAAAATTAATTATAATAAATTAAATGTTTATTAAATCAAATGTTTTCTTTGCAATAATATTTATAATGTTGAGTAAACAATGTTGGGATCAAGTGTATCATTTTTCAGACCTTTCTGAACAGCTTCAAGCATACTGATGCATTCGACTTTTTTAAATTGTGTCATTTCTTCGAAATCTCTTGTGACTTTTTTGATAACTTTAACACTTCTCTCTGAATCCAGACCTTTAATTTGCAACTTAATCAGGAATGAAGGAACAACACTGGAATATAACTCGATGACAAGTTCATCGAGTCGAAGATTTGGTTGTACACCACTTGTATGTGCCGGATACCATTGTGTCAAATTTTTTCTGAAATTAACTTTAAAAGTACTAAGTAAGATCATGAGATATAGCAATATATGTTTAAACCAACTTATATTTTGGTTGTACACCACTTGTATGTGCCGGATACCATTGTGTCAAATTTTTTCTGAAATTAACTTTAAAAGTACTAAGTAAGATCATTTATTTTTGCATAATATAATGCCAATATGGTTTCTTTTGATTTTATTTCATTTATAAGCAAATCAGATTTACCCAAAAACTCCACTCCATAAGCGTTCATTTGCTAAATTAAAAAGTGACAATGGGCTAGTCTGTCCCTTTCTCTATATAAATATATACATATATAAATATATACATATATAAATATATACATATATAAATATATACATATATAAATATATACATATATAAATATATACATATATAAATATACATATATATATAAATATATAAATAACAAAATATAATCAAAAAATAGTGTTTGGAAATTTAAGGTTAAGTGTCACTTTTTCTACTGTCACTTTTTCGTAAATTCTACCACACTCTGACATATAGTCAAACTAAGCTTGCATGGGAGGAAGAATACCCAGATCTCGGAACTTTAACATCCAATCTCATTGCTACTGCACTTAAAAGAGCTGCATTAGGTCTATACTGGGAAAAAGGGAATCATGGCGGTGCAGATCCATACCTATGCGAGCGTGATCAGCTCACTTTAAAAGAAATTATCGAAGATTCTGCTTACAAAGGTGAAGCTCTAGAAGCAGCTGACATTATTGACGAGGCGTTCAAGTTGAAAGAGCTCAGAAGAGATTATGGTTACAGATTCCTTCTTGAGATTAATTGTCCTACTCTTGCAGAAGAAGTTATCAATACTCTTGGTGGTGATGATGTATCGAGACCTTATGTTAACCATATTTTACAGCAATTGCATTGCAAGCTTAAGGCATGCCAAGAGATTGAAGAATCAAGATACATGGCGTGTGAACCAAGAATTATCGAAGAATTCTACGATAAACATCGTGAAACAATCGAAAGTACTCCAGAGGAGTTGATTTTTAGTATCGATGAAACATTCATAAACAAATTTAAGAAGAAGAAAGTTGCATTACCTGAGGAGATAGAGCATATGATCGCCAAAGGAATTCCAAACTTTCCGCACATTACAGCTTTATGCGGATGCTCAATGACAGGCAAATCTGTTCCACCTCTCTTTGTTCTCCCATGTATTGCAGAACTACCTAGAGAACTGAAAGTATTCCAGCGCAAAAGACATTGTTGGTTTACTTCTACGCCAAAAGGCTGGGTGAACAGAAGTGTATTCTTATTGTATTGCATTTTCTTCATCGAGTGGCTTAACTTTGAACGCCAGAGAATGCCAGAAGATATACGTGACAAGCCTGCTCTCATTGTGTGTGATGGACACTCCAGCCGCAAGAATCCTCTGGCATTGTTCCTTTTGGCAAGTGCCAACATCAAATTAATTGTTCTTCCCGCACATACAACACACATTTTACAAGTATTTGATGTTGGCATTGCCAAAAGATTAAAGTCCAAATTCACGGATTATCTGAGAGATTACATTAAGGCACCGAAGCAAGAGTTCAACAGCAATGCTGCAATGATGCGCTACGCCATTATCTACTCATTTATTAGCGCATGGCAAGAATCAGTATCATTAAGAACGGTTCAAAATGCTGCTGCCGCCTGCGGTCTTTGCCCTTGTTCTGTAGAAGCTCTCAAACATAATAAGTATGTTCGTGAATTGACTCCTGCAGAAAACGAATTGCAAGAGAAAAGAAATTACCGTAATCGAAATCGTTTTAACATCAATGGTGAAGAATTGACGACGATGGAAATGATTTGCGCAATTTCTGACAATATTAAGAAGAATCCTGCAAATCACAGATTTTGCAGGAAGCCAGAACAAGACACCAAGGAACGTTTCTACTTTTGGATTACAAACTATCTTGATCCCAGCACTGAGTTGTTGACAAAACTCCCTAATATGCCAGGTTATAGTCCAAATGATTAGGAAAATTTTCCAATTTTCCAACAAAAATTTTCCAATTCTCCACCAAAAATTTTTTAATAAAATATTATTTTACGGCATTGCCCGTCACTTTTTTCGGTACAAGGCTAATATCACGGTATAACCCCCCTGAAAAGACTTTCTTTATTCTCTTTCTTTTCATATTTATCACTGTTTTATGAAATTCTCTTTCTTTTCATATTTATCATTGTTCTATTACATTCTCTTTCTTTTCATATTTATCATTGTTTTATTACATTCTCTTTCTTTTCATATTTATCATTATTTGATAAAATTCTCTTTCTTTCTATATTTATCATTGTTTTATTACATTCTCCTTCTTTTCATATTTATCATTGTTTTATGATAATCTCTTTCTTTTCATATTTTTCATTGTTTTATGATATTCTCTTTCCTTTGATATTTAACATTGATTTATTGGATTTTGTTTCTTTTGATATTTAACATTGATTTATTGGATTCTGTTTCTTTTCATATTTTTCATTGATTTATTGGATTCTCTCTCTTTTCATATTTGTCATTGTTTTATGACATTTTCTTTCTTTTCATATTTATCATTGATTTATTGGATTCTATTTCTTTTCATATTTATCATTATTTTATAAAATTCACTCTCTTCTCATGTTTATTATTATTTTATGATATTCTTTCGATATTAATGAATGCACACTTAGTATTGTAATCAAAATGAATTCAAAAGAAATTGTCCAATTCCTAGTTGAGCATGATGCTACAATTGTTTAATAATTCTTTTTCCATTAGCATAATTTTATATTGAAAAAACATTTAGTAATGTTGTTATTATTTAAGAATAAACATCTCATAATATATTGCATTAATATACACGAATTTAAAGATGATTACATATTTCAGTGAATCAATAATCGTTTTTCAATATATTCTGAAAATTTTCTTTCACACCTAGACGATAGTCCCATTAATATTGAATTGTTTTTCTGAGCCTAGTAAGACATTTAAAATATAACATGTGTGAAAAAATGAATACCAAGAGAATATTTAATGGAATATATAAATGCCACTTTTTGCTCAAATTCATTCCTTTTTCAGTATCTGGCAGAATAACACACAGTATATAGATCCAAGGTGATGTGATTTTTGCATCCCTGGGATGGACGATACACCCAAAGTGTCACCTTTTTGGGATAACATGAATTTTAAATATCATGAGAGTTCTGCAAACCATATGCACAATATCTATTCAGCCTGACTTCTTGTATATATGAGTTAGACTTCTTAAATATTGTGCTTGGGGCGATATAAGCATTTCCGAGATTACCATCGTGCTCTATAGTATGCTACTTCTCCCTGGTTCTAGCTCAGTTCCAAGGATATTGGCGTTCAAGGATTTGGCAAGGTCCTTCCGAAGTCTCTCATTCGATGAGAGATTTCGGAAGAATCTTGCCTTAAAGTACTCCAACTCTTGTTCTTTTGTTCCTAAATAGTGAGAAAAGTTATTTGACTACTTAAGGTAGAGATTATCCGAGGTCCCTCATTTGATGAGAGGCCTCGGATAATCTCTGCCTTAAAATTGTACACTTGTAGTCCATGAGAGTGTAAGTATACATTGATAGGACAGCTTTCTTCTGAAGTCTTAGATTTGATGAGAACCTCAGAAGAAAACTGTCCTATTTTATAGTAAAAGGAGTTTCAGGAGCTCCAAAGCTCCCTTTCGTAAGGATTAGGAGCTTTGGAGCTCCTGGTTCGTAGATGTGTTTCGCATCTTTCATCAGCAAAGGACATTTACCATCTGGGACTCTGTTGATGGAGACTCAGGAGCTCCAAAGCTCCTTTAGTAAGGATTAGAAGCTTTGAAGCTCCTGGTTCGTAGACGTGTTTCGCATCTTTCATCAGAAGAGGCCCAAATGGTAAATAGCCTCTGCTGATGAGCTTCAGGAGCTCCAAGGCTCCCTCTCGTAACGATTAGGAGCTTTGTAGCTCCTGAAGGTAAGGTAGGATTGCTCTGATCTCTAATCAGTAGATGCCATGCCTCATTATGAACTCTACTGACAAGAGATCAAGAGCTCCAAGGACTCCTTTTTAGTTAGTGACGTTCTCACCATTTAGTAGGATTGCTGATCCTACTAATGAAGTGATCACTTAGTATACGTTTTGAATAAATTGAATTTTTTTTAGAATTTAGTATTTTTTATAGACATCACATGTATATTATAAATACATAAATATATTCTTTAATTCAAAAAATTCAATTCGGTTTTGGGATGGGTATCCCAGCCCCAAGTATTCAATTTTATTCAATTTTTTAAGAATTTTGGGTTGGGATGCCCAGACCAAAACAAGCTTTATATTTTGATGTGTAGATACGTATGTGTGCATCATTGTTGTGTTATATATTATGTTTTTAATGAAAAAAAATCTGATTCAAAAAAAATTATCACTAATTAGTTGATAATATAAAGAAAAAATAGATAAATTGTATGTTTTGAGAGTATTTATCCACATTCACTCATATGAATTTCATTAAATAGTGTCTTTTTACTCCCAAATTTATTTTGAATTATTGAAATCAAAGAAAAAAAAATCAGAAAAATTTCTCGAAATTTTTATTTTCAAAAAAAATTTGGATTTTATATTGAAAACTGACACTGGGAGGACGATAGGGCTGGGATTGGAGATACCCCGCTCACTTGGGAAAAATACGGATCTATACACAGTATAAGTACCTCAGATGAGGAAAAAAGTCTTCAATCAGTATCTGATTGAAAAAGAAAGTCTCCAAAGATCATCTCAAGTAGTCTTTTAAGACTTTATTCTTCATTTGGGATATAACACCTGTACAAGTATCTCAGATGAGGAAAAAAGTCAACAATTCAGATCTTAAATATAGAAGTTTTTTTTTTTCAAAAAATATAATGAATTTATGCTAGTATATGTCCTTTTGTAGTACATACAAATCATAAATATCATACATTTCTATATGAATCACTTTAAATTAAATTCGGGTTTTACATAGGGTGCAAAAATGTGCAAAAACGATTATTTAAAATTGAATTTGCACATTTTTTGTGTATTTGAAAAATTTTGGATTTGACCATTATTAAAAGTCAAATCCACTAATAAAGAGTAGCAACATTTGCATATGCAAAAAATATAAAAGAAAAATCCATTCATTATTGAATACTTTACACGGATTGATTTTTAAATGCAAAAATAATGCACAGGTTGAATTATTTGCACTTGTAGGAAAAACCTTAACATACCCATCAATTTTTTTGTGCAAATTTTAATGAATTTCTGCAATGAAATCGTTTATCTTAAGAAATTCCTGAAACCGATTTTAATAAACAATTAGATTTCTTGGCATAATCATATATGGGATGAGTGTTAATTCAATTTTAATGCATAACCAATAAATCATGTTTTAAGCGAGAATTGAATTTGAACTAAGACTCACTTTTTACACATAAATCAGGCATTATAAAATTTTAAAATAATTGACTATAATGTTTATGATTCTACAATAATAACTATAGAATAGCTAAAAATTCGCATGGAAAATTGTTGAGAACAACTCCCCAAATATGTTTCGAATTGAGTAATTCGTATGTAGCCATTTCCTTCATGGCCAGTTTCGGTGCCGCCATGTGGACTTGGCATAGATGTTTTGCCATCAATCATCAATCCATCGGTGAATTTATAACCGCTGTAATGAATTGATGGATCGATTGAATTAGAAAATTTTATGTCACTTTTTGTCGAGGAACTCAAAATAGCGATACAATCTTTATAACCGCTAATGAAGGAGCTTCCCCCTCCACCACCGGCATAATGCGGTATATCAGAGTTTCCACCGCCAAAATATCCACCGCCGCCACCGCCATTCCCATCATTATCACCTAAGGATTCTCTTCTATTTGGATCTCCAGCTCCAAATCCAAAAGTGCCAGCATGACCTTTTCCAGGTCCTCCTGATGTCTGGTTGGCACCAATTCCGTGCTCATATGTGCTGTTAAATCCAAACAATCCGCCTCCAGCACCACCAAGATCGTAATAATATGTGCCATCTATGAGGACACCATCAGAAGATCCTGCACCGGCAGCAACGATTATTCGGCTTTTCAAGCCGTTGAAGTCTCCATAATCGCCTGGTTCGAGGCGAATATCAGACGATCCGTCACCAGAAATCTGGCCAGGACCTCCACCTCCATAGGATGGCAATATTGCGTTATGATAAAATTGAGATCCGACATGAAGATATAACTTTATAGATTTATCAAATTTGATATAGCCTTTGACGTATGCGCCGTTGGCTCCAGATATTTCGCCTGATGCACCCCATAATTCAAACAAATATTTTCCAGGTTGGAGGAGAATTTCATAAGGTTCTGAATGTGTTGCATTAATTCCTCGATAATCATATAGAGCAGTTAAGTTTTTCGTTTGAACTTATATACTATTAGAATTACTTATTTGTTAAAAATACATATAAAAAGTGTCAAATAAAATTAACCTTATTGAAAAAATTAGTAGTATTCGGTCTCATCATCTCAATAATTATGAACTATATTATTGAAAATGTATCAATAACAGAATTTCTTCGATGAAATCGTTTATCTTTAGATATTCCTGAAACCGATAATAATAAACGATTATATATTTCATCGCGCAAACATATATGGTATGAGTATTAATTCAATTTTAATATGTAAGTAATAAATCAATTTTTATGTGAAATTATCATTATAGAGTCAATCTTGTAAAATAAAAATTAAAATTTCAATTCTATTACTGATAACATCAGGCATCTAATATCCAAAAATAAAAAAGTTATCAGTAATAGAGCATCAAAATATTCAATCATCAAAATAATTGACATTGCAGTTTATGATTCAATGATAAGAAATATAAAGTAGTTAAAGAACTTTATCGCATATGATTGAGAACAACTCACATAATTTGTTTCAAATTGTGTGATTCGTATGTAGCCATTCCCTGAATGGCCAACCTCAGTGCCACCATGTGGACTTGGCATAGATGTTTTACCATCAATCATTACTGCGTCTGTGAACTTATAACCGCTGTAGTGAATTGATGGATCAAATGAATTAGAAAATTTAATGTCACTTTTCGTTGAAGAATTCAGAATGGCAATACAATCTTTATAACCGCTAATGAAGGAGCTTCCCCCTCCACCGCCACAATGTTGAGGTATTTCGGAGTTTCCACCTCCGAAATACCCACCACCACCGCCAGCATTCCCATCATTATCTCCTGAGGATTCTATTCTATTTGGATTTCCAGCTCCAAATCCAAAAGTGCCGGCAAGACCTTTTCCGGGTCCTCCTGATATCTGAGTGGCGCCAAGACCATGCTCATATGTGCTGTTAAATCCAAGTAGCCCGCCTCCAGCACCACCAGCATCCTCATAAAATGCATTTCCAATGAGTGTACCATCCTGAGACCCTGCACCAGCAGCAACGATTATTCGACTTTTCAAACCGTTGAAATCTCCAAAATCGCCTGGTTCAAGGCGTATATCAGATGATCCGCCGCCAGAAAATTGGCCTGGACCTCCGCCACCATAAGACGGAAGAGTTGCACCAGAATAATATTTAGATCCGACATGAAGATATAATTTTATAGATTTATCAAATTTAATATACCCTTTGACGTATGCACCGTTCGATCCAGTTCCTATGCCTGAAGCACCCCATAATTCAAACAAATATTTTCCGGATTGGAGAAGAATTTCATAAGGCTCCGAATGCGTTGCATTAATTCCTCGATAATCATACAGAGCAGTTAAATTTTTCGTTTTAACTTAGAATCAATTTAGAAAACCTTTTTTATCAAAAGCTAAGACGAAAAGTGCTCAATAAAATTAACCTTATTGTATCATCTCAACAGAATTATTGAAAGGACATCAATAACAAAGTTCTGATATAATATCCATGAATCATGTTATCATCAGTAAAACTACAGACAGTATTTCATTTTTCGAATTTATCGAAAGTGTTGAAGATATAAATAACTAAAGATATTCATAGAATACTTTTGAGAACAACTCACAAAATTTGTTTCAAATTGAGTAATTCGTATGTAGCCATTTCCTTCATGGCCAGTTTCGGTGCCGCCATGTGGACTTGGCATAGATGTTTTGCCATCAATCATCAATCCATCGGTGAATTTATAACCGCTGTAATGAATTGATGGATCGATTGAATTAGAAAATTTTATGTCACTTTTTGTCGAGGAACTCAAAATAGCGATACAACCTTTATAACCGCTAATGAAGGAGCTCCCCCTCAACCGCCGTAGTAATTGGGTAATTCGGAGTTTCCATCTCCAAAATATCCGCCACCGCCATTTCCGTCATTTTCACGATAGTTTCCTAATCTATTTGGATTTCCAGCTCCAAAACCAAAAGTGCCAGCAAGACCTTTCCAGGTCCTCACGATGTCTGATTAGCGCCAAGACAATGCTCAGATGAGCTGTTGAATCCAAACAGCCCATCACCAACACCTGCACCAGCAGCAACGATTATTCGACTTTTCAAACCGTTGAAATCTCCAAAATCGCCTGGTTCAAGACGGATGACGGATGATCCGCCACCAGAAAATTGGCCTGGACCTCCGCCGCCATAAGATGGAAGTTTTGCACCAGTATAATATTGAGATCCGACATGAAGATATAAATTTATAGGTTCTCAAATTTAATATATCCTCTCACGTAAGCTCCGTTAGCTGCAGTTCCACCACCAGATACGTCCATAATTCAAACAAATATTTTCCTGGCCGAAAGAAAATTTTCATAAGGCTCTGAATGGGTTGCATTAATACCTCGATAATCATATAGAAAAGTTAAATTTTTCGTTTGAACCTATCTATATTTAAAACTACTTTCTTGTCAGAATCAATTATGAAAAGTGACAAATGAAATTAACTTAATTGCTCTCTGGAAATATTGAGAGTACTTGCCAATATAAGATAACGTAAACTATATAAATCTGAACAAGAATATTGAAAGGGCATCAATAATAGTTCTAAATCATTTATTCTGTTTATCAATCAATATATTTTATGCATCTAATTCAAAGCTTAAATAATCATCTATAAGTTCACATACAAATATTCAAATGTCAAATTTATTGAAAGTGTTGTTTATGATTCAATGATAAGAAGTATAAAATAACTAAAGATATTCATAGAATACTTTTGAGAACAACTCACATAATTTGTTTCAAATTGGGTAATTCGTATGTAGCCATTCCCTGAATGGCCAACCTCAGTGCCACCATGTGGACTTGGCATAGATGTTTTACCATCAATCATTACTGCGTCTGTGAACTTATAACCGCTGTAGTGAATTGATGGATCAAATGAATTAGAAAATTTAATGTCACTTTTCGTTGAAGAATTCAGAATGGCAATACAATCTTTATAACCGCTAATGAAGGAGCTTCCCCCTCCACCGCCACAATGTTGAGGTATTTCGGAGTTTCCACCTCCGAAATACCCACCACCACCGCCAGCATTCCCATCATTATCTCCTGAGGATTCTATTCTATTTGGATTTCCAGCTCCAAATCCAAAAGTGCCGGCAAGACCTTTTCCGGGTCCTCCTGATATCTGAGTGGCGCCAAGACCATGCTCATATGTGCTGTTAAATCCAAGTAGCCCGCCTCCAGCACCACCAGCATCCTCATAAAATGCATTTCCAATGAGTGTACCATCCTGAGACCCTGCACCAGCAGCAACGATTATTCGACTTTTCAAACCGTTGAAATCTCCAAAATCGCCTGGTTCAAGGCGTATATCAGATGATCCGCCGCCAGAAAATTGGCCTGGACCTCCGCCACCATAAGACGGAAGAGTTGCACCAGAATAATATTTAGATCCGACATGAAGATATAATTTTATAGATTTATCAAATTTAATATACCCTTTGACGTATGCACCGTTCGATCCAGTTCCTATGCCTGAAGCACCCCATAATTCAAACAAATATTTTCCGGATTGGAGAAGAATTTCATAAGGCTCCGAATGCGTTGCATTAATTCCTCGATAATCATACAGAGCAGTTAAATTTTTCGTTTTAACTTAGAATCAATTTAGAAAACCTTTTTTATCAAAAGCTAAGACGAAAAGTGCTCAATAAAATTAACCTTATTGTATCATCTCAACAGAATTATTGAAAGGACATCAATAACAAAGTTCTGATATAATATCCATGAATCATGTTATCATCAGTAAAACTACAGACAGTATTTCATTTTTCGAATTTATCGAAAGTGTTGAAGATATAAATAACTAAAGATATTCATAGAATACTTTTGAGAACAACTCACAAAATTTGTTTCAAATTGAGTAATTCGTATGTAGCCATTTCCTTCATGGCCAGTTTCGGTGCCGCCATGTGGACTTGGCATAGATGTTTTGCCATCAATCATCAATCCATCGGTGAATTTATAACCGCTGTAATGAATTGATGGATCGATTGAATTAGAAAATTTTATGTCACTTTTTGTCGAGGAACTCAAAATAGCGATACAACCTTTATAACCGCTAATGAAGGAGCTCCCCCTCAACCGCCGTAGTAATTGGGTAATTCGGAGTTTCCATCTCCAAAATATCCGCCACCGCCATTTCCGTCATTTTCACGATAGTTTCCTAATCTATTTGGATTTCCAGCTCCAAAACCAAAAGTGCCAGCAAGACCTTTCCAGGTCCTCACGATGTCTGATTAGCGCCAAGACAATGCTCAGATGAGCTGTTGAATCCAAACAGCCCATCACCAACACCTGCACCAGCAGCAACGATTATTCGACTTTTCAAACCGTTGAAATCTCCAAAATCGCCTGGTTCAAGACGGATGACGGATGATCCGCCACCAGAAAATTGGCCTGGACCTCCGCCGCCATAAGATGGAAGTTTTGCACCAGTATAATATTGAGATCCGACATGAAGATATAAATTTATAGGTTTCTCAAATTTAATATATCCTCTCACGTAAGCTCCGTTAGCTGCAGTTCCACCACCAGATACGTCCCATAATTCAAACAAATATTTTCCTGGCCGAAAGAAAATTTCATAAGGCTCTGAATGTGTTGCATTAATACCTCGATAATCATATAGAAAAGTTAAATTTTTCGTTTGAACCTATCTATATTTAAAACTACTTTCTTGTCAGAATCAATTATGAAAAGTGACAAATGAAATTAACTTAATTGCTCTCTGGAAATATTGAGAGTACTTGCCAATATAAGATAACGTAAACTATATAAATCTGAACAAGAATATTGAAAGGGCATCAATAATAGTTCTAAATCATTTATTCTGTTTATCAATCAATATATTTTATGCATCTAATTCAAAGCTTAAATAATCATCTATAAGTTCACATACAAATATTCAAATGTCAAATTTATTGAAAGTGTTGTTTATGATTCAATGATAAGAAGTATAAAATAACTAAAGATATTCATAGAATACTTTTGAGAACAACTCACATAATTTGTTTCAAATTGGGTAATTCGTATGTAGCCATTCCCTGAATGGCCAACCTCAGTGCCACCATGTGGACTTGGCATAGATGTTTTACCATCAATCATTACTGCGTCTGTGAACTTATAACCGCTGTAGTGAATTGATGGATCAAATGAATTAGAAAATTTAATGTCACTTTTCGTTGAAGAATTCAGAATGGCAATACAATCTTTATAACCGCTAATGAAGGAGCTTCCCCCTCCACCGCCACAATGTTGAGGTATTTCGGAGTTTCCACCTCCGAAATACCCACCACCACCGCCAGCATTCCCATCATTATCTCCTGAGGATTCTATTCTATTTGGATTTCCAGCTCCAAATCCAAAAGTGCCGGCAAGACCTTTTCCGGGTCCTCCTGATATCTGAGTGGCGCCAAGACCATGCTCATATGTGCTGTTAAATCCAAGTAGCCCGCCTCCAGCACCACCAGCATCCTCATAAAATGCATTTCCAATGAGTGTACCATCCTGAGACCCTGCACCAGCAGCAACGATTATTCGACTTTTCAAACCGTTGAAATCTCCAAAATCGCCTGGTTCAAGGCGTATATCAGATGATCCGCCGCCAGAAAATTGGCCTGGACCTCCGCCACCATAAGACGGAAGAGTTGCACCAGAATAATATTTAGATCCGACATGAAGATATAATTTTATAGATTTATCAAATTTAATATACCCTTTGACGTATGCACCGTTCGATCCAGTTCCTATGCCTGAAGCACCCCATAATTCAAACAAATATTTTCCGGATTGGAGAAGAATTTCATAAGGCTCCGAATGCGTTGCATTAATTCCTCGATAATCATACAGAGCAGTTAAATTTTTCGTTTTAACTTAGAATCAATTTAGAAAACCTTTTTTATCAAAAGCTAAGACGAAAAGTGCTCAATAAAATTAACCTTATTGTATCATCTCAACAGAATTATTGAAAGGACATCAATAACAAAGTTCTGATATAATATCCATGAATCATGTTATCATCAGTAAAACTACAGACAGTATTTCATTTTTCGAATTTATCGAAAGTGTTGAAGATATAAATAACTAAAGATATTCATAGAATACTTTTGAGAACAACTCACAAAATTTGTTTCAAATTGAGTAATTCGTATGTAGCCATTTCCTTCATGGCCAGTTTCGGTGCCGCCATGTGGACTTGGCATAGATGTTTTGCCATCAAT